TTTTTTTAATAGTCTGTTTTTAGTGTATTGGGTTTCTATTCCATTTGCCTCCCAGAGATCCTTTTGGTGGATGGGCAGCTGTATATATGTTTGTTTAATGAATAATCAAAATAATCAGTCCCCATGAAAGTAACTCCAATGAGGTTTCGGAAGAAACCAAAAGAGGAAAATGAGGATATCAAAATACTAGCTTTGCCAGAAGGAAACATGGCGTGACCGCCTTCTGCTCCTTTTTGTTAAGCAGAAGTTACTTTTTATGACACTATAGTAGGTTAAAGGAAGCTTGTTTTGATAATAAGCTTGTATCCTAGTACTTAGAACAGATCGAATTGCTGATAAAAGGATATCAACAATCTGGTTTTCTGCAACTCCTCCTCATACTTGTTTTCCAAGCTGTGATGCCCCCACAGGTGTTTACTTGCTTAAAAGGTGACTAGGGATGATCCAGGAAGAACCCCCATAGCTAATACTAGTGGGTGAGGATCTTGATTAGTAACAGTGCTGGGATTCAAAAATTTTTACTACTGGTTCTATGGGTGTGGCTTGGTAGGCGTGGTGTGGCTTGGTGGGTTTGGTGTGGCTTGGTGGGCCTGGAAGGGAAAGGATACTGTAAAATCTCCATTCCTTCCCCACCCCACTAACCTGCTTTTCAGCTCTGTTCTCCTGTGCAGGGCAACAAAAGAAGATCCAGCTGATCACCCGGGACTCGTGAGGCAGAAAATAGATGGGGGTGGGGCCAGTCAGAGGTGGTATTTGCCGGTTTTCCAAATTACTCAAGATTTCCACTACCGGTTTTGCAGAACTGGTCAGAACCTGCTCAATACCACCTCTGACTAGTAAACAGTTCATCCTATAAACAGGCATTCTTCCATCACCTACTTGGAGAAAGATGGTACAGACTGTCCTCGACTTACAACCATTTTAGTGGCTGTTTGAAGTTACAACAGCATTGAAAAAAGCGACTTATGACCATTGTTCACCAGCAACCCCATGGCCATGTGATCAAAATTTGGCCGCTTGGCAACTGACATGTATTTACGATGGTTGCAGGGTTCCAGGATCACCTTCTGACAAACAAAGCAAAGGGCGAAGCCGGATTCATTTAACAACCGTGTTAACTTAACAACTGCAGTGATTCACTTACAACTATGGCCAGAAAGGTTGTAAAATGGGGCAAAACTCACTTAACAACTCTTGCTGACCAATGGAAATGTTGGGCTCCCTTGTGTTCATAATTCAAGGACTACCTGTACTGCAGGAAACAATTGTTTAGAAAAGCACAAAGCCTTTCCCAGTGTGCAGCTGTCTTGCAGTTGCCCTACAGCTTATATGAGCAATATGAGTTTAGTTTGAGGAACCTTTACAGGGAAAAGAACTCTGTTGGATTTCACACAAAAACACACAACAACTGGTTTAGATGATAACATTCTGTTCTGTTCAGGCGGCATAATATCTCTTCTAACTCTAGTAGTAATAGACAGAGAGGTCATCCAAGGAGACAGCAATCAGGAGCTATCTCTCAGTTTCTCTTTGCCTATTTCTCTTCTCAAGTGCCCACATAGACACAAGTGTTTTGGAAAAAGTGAAATTACTTCCTGAAAAGCAAGCAAATGTCGGATCAAACAATTACCGGTACCTCTAAACATTGAAGGTCAACATTATCTAGCCCAGAAGGTGAGCTTCATTTGTTGGCTGAATTTGGGGGGGGGGGGGGGCAAGAAATCAAGGGCCCTTGAAGGGAAATGCAGGCATGTAGGAAGACACTGGGATCTGCCAGCTCTCACTGAAAATTTCCAGGCAATCCTCCAGCTACCCTGAGATAGGTGTATGGTACTATTATTTTTGAAACTGGTTGCAGAAAATAGCCTATGGCTGTAGATGTGTGGGGCAGATGGCTTGGAAGTAGGCATAGTTTTCAGCCCTAGAAGTGCTCTACACCAGGGATTGAAGTCCACAAGTCTTCAAGTTGCCAAGGTTGGAGACCCCTGCTCTACACTCAGTACTATACATTAATTTCCATCCCCCTTAATATGTTTCAGCCCCAGCAAAGCCATGGCAACAAACAACAGTTATATCAGATTATGATTAAGGGAAAAGGAAGGGTGAGTATATCAGGAAAACTATATATAGTTCTTAGATATACATGTTAGTGGCGACTCTGCAGAGGGCTGACATCTGAAGAGGGCTGTGAAACTGGATCTCCAGATACAGTCAGCACAGACTAGAGGTCCCTGATCTGGGCTGCCTGTTAAGTCATGGGAATGAGACTCAGGACACCAGCATGACTGTCACTTGTTTTATTTCCTTCTAGGACTGAACGCCGGAGAAACCGCGGCAGCCCTTTTTATAGTTGGGCTGCTCGCGGCTGTGGCCACAGTGACGGCTCTTCAAATTTCCTGCCGCCACGGACCAACCAATTACAGGTAAGTATGTTAATACATAACACTGCCAAAATCAAGTTAATAACTAGGGAGTTCCCAGGTGGTGGCTTCTGGAGTTTTATAGCCCCAGCCTGGCCTCCTATCATATCCACCCAGCAAGGCAATTTTGAAATAAGACCTTGATTCATAAAATATATGAAGAATGGTTACAGGAATTAGGTATGTTTAGCCCAAGGGTCTTCAAACTTGGCAAGTTTAAGACTTGTGGACTTCAATTCCCAGAATTCCTGAGTTAACATAACTAAAGAAGGAATTCTGGGAGTCTTAAAGTTGCCAAGTTTGAAAAGAAGGACTGGGTATGTGTGACATGATACCAGTGTTCCAGTATCTAAGGGCCTGCCACAAAGAAGAGGGAGTCAAGATATTCTCCAAAGCACTCGAAGGTAGGACAAGAAGCAATGGATGGAAACTAACCAACGAGAGAAACAACCTAAAACTAAGGACAAATTTCCTGACAGAACAGTTAATCAGTGGGACAACTTGCCTCCAGAGGTTGTTGGTGCTCTATCATTGGAGGTTTTAAAGAAGAGATTGGACAACCTTTTGTCTGAAATTGCATAGGGTCTCCTTCCTGAGCAGGGGGTTGATCTAGAAAAGCTCTGAGGTCCCTTCCAACTCTGTTATTCTGAGTCCTGTCAATTATATTTGCAGAAATATCTGTATACTTCTCTGGTGCCCTCCATTTTCCTCAATAACTTGCTTCTTAAGTTTCACTTTTGGGTCACAGCTTGGAGAAGCTGCCCATGGGACAGGAACAAAAGCCTTCAACGAATATTGCTGGTCAAAGAACCCACTTGACTGGCATGTTTTTAGTCAGCTCCGATTCAGCAGAAACAATGGGAAGATTCCAATTTCCCTACAAAGCAAAACTGTCCTGAGATGCCCTCTCTTTTCTTCTTTTTGGAATCAGAAGTGGACCAGGGCATGCCTGAATAAGGCCACTTTCTCTAACAACTGCCACCTTACAGCAATCATCACAATCTTTTGCTATCTGTAACTCACTGCTTCAATTGCTATTCTTAGCCTCTGTTTATTTCTTGCTTTGTCACCCTTCGCAGAACAAACTTCTGTCCAGATTATCGTTGTGAGAAGCTTTACAGAAATAGATCAATTTTTGCCATATTACTACTGTGTGACATTTCTTACCACACAACTTAAGGAGGATCCCTCTCTTCTTTAAGATAGCACCGATGAGGATAGCAAAAACAGTTCTTTGTGCATGATGAAGGTTTTGAATCACCTGCAACATGGAGGTGCTTGCTTACTTAACGGCATTTGATGGTTGGTGGCTACTGACAAATAAAATGCTTGCTATGCCACATCTACGTAGCTACAGAAAGAAGTCTGAGTTTTGCAAAGAAACTTTTGGAAAGAAGCTGTGGTTAACAATTCCTGCATTGTGGAAGGGATGAAGCAGGATTCACATGAGATTTAAGTTCATGAAATTTTACAATTATCCATGTAGTGTACAAGATAAACTTGCCCTTACAATAATATTCTAAAAATAAAAGACCATCAGAACACAGTATCATCATTATTTTCATGTTGGAAAAATATAATTATAATAATTAAAAATCCCTATGGCACTACCTAGCTTGTTAAAAAAAAAAAAGACATCTAGAAGAACTGGAGGTCAGCAGAGTCAGGGCAAACTGTACCCCAACAAAAAAAAAAACTATACTACAAAATGTAGGCCTTCAGATTATCCTGGCCATTTGCTTTCCTAATTCACCACCCATCTCAATGGATTCCTCAAGAAATGAACCTCTTTTAAACTAATGATGTCACCAAGTTTACAGGTTCTTTTCCTAAGGATGAAGGGCTCCCCTGAAGTTGCCAGGAGAATAGACAACACTCAACAGAATTCTGGAAAAATGCAATGTCAGATTTCTAATTTTACCACTCAAATATAAGTAATTGAAAACAAGAACCTTGACATTTTTTTAATTAAAAAGTGAAAACCCTATTTGGAAATGGTCATTTCCTTCTTCAAGTGGGAATGCTCTGAATTTGTTTGCCTTGCAAATATCAAATGTACAAAATTTTCTAGTATATAAAATCACATTAATACCTTTCATGCCAACCCCAAAGTACATTAGACACTAAATCCATGCCTGATGGAGCGAGCCCTACCCAAACCTTCACTTCATAAAAACCTCCACAAGTGTGTCCCATACCTCTGCCTTTCTCTGCTCTTTGCTCTCCTTCCCTACATTTGTTTCACTCATTGTGAAAATTGAACTGGCAAAGATGTTAAAATAAAACCTGCATTGGCTTTCTTTTGGCTTTTGCTATTCTGGGAGGCTTTTTTTTTTTAAAAAAAAAGGTCAGCAGCAGACTTTGTTTTAAAAGCCTGATGTTGACCTTTTTATTTCAAAAAGATCAACTTCAGCAGCAAAAGTTGACAATCCCCGCTCTCAGAATACACGATGTGAACCCTTTAAACTTGCTTCCCTTCCTGGATCCCTCTGCATAAAGGAGCCCGAAGCCCACTGCATTGGAGAAGCAGGAGCAGAGATACTCAAATCATCAAGATCTGCTGTTCAGTCTGGTACTTACCTGGCCCTCAGGAGATCTTCTCTGGAAAGTCAAGGTCCTCAGTGAAGATATCAACAGAGGCAGGAAACTCAGACAGCACCTTTATCCCTAGATGTGTGTGAGTGTGTATGAATGAGGGAGAGAGAGAGTAAGAGAGAGGGAAGAGAGAGAGAGAGTAAGTGTGTGTGTGTGTGTGTGTGTGTGACAGGCAGGTGTGTGTGTGACTTGAAAAACCTGCACCACAGACAGGCTGAAACTTAAAGCGGTTGCTTAGTCCCTTTCCCTGCTGGCAATTCAGGTTTGGCAGTCAGCTTGTATATGTTGGGGAAAAAAAAAAATCTCTCCAAATCGGTCTGCTGAAGTAAGCTGCAGCTCCCTCACTCTTTCCCTACTTGCTTTGGAATGGATGAAAGAGCAAGCACAAAGGGTGGGGGGAGCGGGGACAGATTTTGGGCTCCGCTCCCCGAAAGCAGAGATGCTGCAATCCTTCTAACAGTGCCTTGCTGCTGCTGAAATCCTTATCTGGAGTTGGACTTTTGCCACCGTCAGTGTCATCTTGCCAGTTGCCTCATGAAACCACAAGTCGCTTCCCTTTGGGGATGTAACGTCCGCTTGCCAAAGGCAGAGAGGAGAGGCACGTCTCTCGCAACCTCAATTCCAATAGACGCGAAGAGACTCGCTTAGTCCACACCCAGGATCGGAGCAGGGTTGTTGGAAGGGGTTTGCTCAGAATGGATGAGAAGACCCCTCTGCGTTGGGCAGGGGAAGGCCTGTCTCTTGAGGGGTCCCATTCCCCCAAGGCTGAGGAAGGTCAGGCAAGGTGGAAAGTGGGCTGCTTCAGAGCACTGGCTTCAATTTCACGTGGGAAGGGACGGGACACAATTTAAAAGAGGCATTTTGATACAGGGTCTGGAGGCTTTGCTAGACATCTGGAAACTCCGTTATTTTATTCCACACTTTCAAAAGTTGTTGCATGCCAGGCATCCGTTCGTTTAACCTGGCACTGTGTGTCTTGCCTGGGAGAGTCCCTCAAAGTTTCGGGATGTGGAAGACCTCCATGGAGATGGTGAGGTGTTAAATCTGCCTGTAAACAAGAACTTCTCTGCTGAGTTACAGCATTTAGAGTTGAGAGTTTGGACAGCTGAACAATGAATTATGTATCAGGAGGCCCAATGTTTATAGTCAAGCCACTTATATCACTTAGAAAGCATTATTTAAAGGAATCATTTTTTAAATTTATTTATCAGGGATAGGCTCAAGTCCAGGACTTCAGGCTCAGAAGAATGACCAAGAGGACCTTTAAATGCCACAAAAGTTGTTTTTCCATATTTCCAATCAGTCAAATGTTCTGCACTATTATATGGGAAGGGCTGGCAATTATGATCAAATGGGCCTCACTATGTCATAGATGGCCTTTTCCACCCAGGGCTGCAGAAATGAACCCCTTTGCCTCGGGTTTCTTCTAAAGAGTTGATGCCTTTCTGTTTTCCAGTGGAGTTACATTGCAAACATTTCTACATGTTGCTGTATTTTTGAAGCACCACAGAACATACAGGGCTTCAGAAGGAAACAGGAAATCATGGCACTGAAGTGGATATCACAATAGGTCAGGCGATAACTGCTGCTGTATTTGCTAGAGATGCAGGCAGCCCAAGGCAATAGGGCAGGGGTCCCCAAAGTTGGCAACTTTAAGACTTGTGGACTTCAACTCCCAGAATTCCCCAGCCAGCTATGCTCACTTTCAATCTATGCTGGCTGGAGAATTCCAGTTAAAATCCACAAGAATTAAAGTTGCCAAGTTTGGAGACCTTTGCAATAGGGGATGAAGCTCTGTACAGCTTTTGATGGAGTGGAGAAGGCAGTATTTTCTACATGATAAATAAATATTTTCCTAATTCTAGTTCCCATCCACTCATAAAGCACCCTTGGATCTCTGAGGCCCATTTAAGGCAATGCCCTCACTATTTTTGAATTCTAACATGATGCATTTAGTGGGAAATAGAATTGTGCAGATGCTACTCCCGATCCAGCACAATCACAAAGACTTGGACTGTGCTTACTGGTGAAGCAAAAAAGCTTTCTGTAGATGAACAGGGCCTTGTTTGCCCACCTGCTGGTGACTACATGCTTATATAAGTAATACTGTAGCATGTGAGATTTGTCACAGATACCAAAATTTGCAGGTTCTGGGAATTCTTGTGTAACATCCATGGCCATGAGTGCAAAGAAGGATCAACAGAATGATTGCTGTACCATTCTTGCAATGAAAGCAGAAAGTCAGGGGAATTCTGAAAACTCCAGGATATTCTCTAGATAATAAACTGTTCTAAGGAATGGCTAAGAGATGCCAAAATGGATGCGTTTGCCAGGAGAGTAGCAAACTTCTTCCATTGCATCCATATTATTGGAACATTAGTGTTTAAAAATTCAAATATTTGTTCTGCCGAAACAATGGGAAGCAAACCCTTCAGCCAAGTTAAAGCTCCAGTTTGATCATAAGCCAGCTGTAGTGCTGCTTGATTCATTTACTGACAGCCAAATGGATTTATGTTGTTTTAGCAAAAAGAAGCAGAGTATGCAATTTATATCAGGGAAATACTAAAATCTCTTTTCCCAGCTGCCTAACATTTTTCCAGCTTGAGATCTGCCCCTTGGGGCTGAAGAATTTCAGAGACTGATTTAGCAGACTGTACTGTACTTATATTTGATTCATTTTACTTTACGCTGTTTTGCTCCCAAATATTGAGTCACAGTGAGGCAGATTTTTTCCACTCTAGTTTTCATGTGCTAATTTTTAATGCTACCTGGATCTAAGCCTACATTCAGGTTGTTTCTCTTTTGTAACACACACACACACATACACACACACACACACACACGTTGTCCCCAGGGGTAGGATTCAAATTTTTAACAACCGGTTCTGTGGGTGTGGCTTAGGTGGTGGGCATGGCTTGGTGGTCATGTGACTGGGTGGACATGGCTTGGTGGTCATGTTATTGGCTGGGTGTGGTCAACTCAATATCAGTCACATTGAGGAACGCATCTCCTCACCTGGCCTCTCATAACTGTGGGGAAGCTGCAACATCTTAAGTGTGAAAAATGGTCATACGTCACTTTTTTCAGTGCCATTGTAACTTTGAATGGTCACTCCACACAAGCAAAGTACCAGCAAAGGAGGGGAAAAAAACTCCAGAGACAGGTAGTCTAGTCCTGCCAAGAATGTAATAAGGGTTAACAGAGAGGCAGTTTCTGTAAGCAACACCAGAATGTTTCCTTCCTGCCCTCCTTACAGGATTAGGCCAGTAATTTCTTCGAACAACCGGTTCTCTGAACTGCTTAGAATGTTACAACCGGTTCTAGCGAATAGGTGCAAACTGGTAGAATCCCACCCCTGGTTGTCCCTTTCTATGTTTTAGGGGTAGATGTACCTTCTCTTCTCTTCTCTTCTCTTCTCTTCTCTTCTCTTTTTCTTTTCTTTTTTTCTTCTTCCAAAAATGGTATTAAATTGTCAACTGCTGCAGTACTTAGCTTGCTATTGTCTAAAGGGATCTTTCATACCGAGGGATTTTTTTTTTAAAGCATTTCATACTGGACTGTTATAAAACACTGCAATATAGAAACTGAATCAATTTGAGAGTTTTATTACATTCATCTGTTTCCTTGGGAAGGTGCTTATAGTGCCAAAGCCTTTTAAGAATTACTTTCTTATTTGGCAGAGTTTCATGGAATGTTTGCTGTTGTTGTAAAACAGCAGTCACTGCCACGTTTCCTATTAAACTGGCAGGCACAATTAGATGAGGGCATGTGCCATCATGCCTTCTTAAGTAACACGGGGTTCAGTCCTCTAGCAAAATTCCAGTCCTATGACTCTTACCTAGGAGTCATTCTAGACAACTAGAACAAGTCTCCTCCCTTAGAAGTATTTGGGAGGTTCATTTAATAGTGAGAGGAAGTATTGCACATATGAACTGTGGTTTCTGGGAAGATGTAGTAAGTGTTGTTCCTATGCTGTTCCCACATAATTACCAGTTTTGTGTGAAGGTAGTATAAATAATTGTAACTGCCTGCACTTTTAGCCCTATAGGCCTGTATATGTGTGTGTGTGTGAGAGAGAGAGAGAGAGAGGGAGAGAGAGGGAGATGGACAGATAGACAGAGAGACAGACAGAGAGACCCAATTTGGGAAAAGCATTGGACTTCACACAAGGCCACACTTTCCCATTTTGCTTGGATTATCAATGTCTAAGATAGATCATTGTGGTTTTGTCAGCACTAAAGTGTCTGAAAATGGAGTCTATAGTTGTTGTGTGAGTGAAACTAGTGAGCTAAGCCCAAAGTGTGTGTGTGTGTGTGTGTGTTTGTGTGTATGATGTGTTTAGCAGAAAACTGTTTTTTTATATTTTTTTTATTTAAATATGTTTTATTGATACATTTTTTAATACACATAAAAAGTTCCATATCTATCTATGGTTTCTGGATACAGTTAATTTTAAGTAGAGATACAACATTAATCACGATAGTAATCATAATAAATAATAATGCAATAATGCAAAGTAATAATGCAATTAGTTTATCCATGTTACAAAATTTTCAATACAAAACTTTTTATTGTCTTTTTAGATTCTAACTTCTGTTTCTGTTAGTTAGCCATTGGTAAAACAAGTTTCATGTTAAAAAGTATTCTGTTTCTTCCTTTTCTTTTAAGTGTTACTCTATCCATCTCAGCACATTCTAATATATATTTTTAAAACACTTTTATCTGTAGGGATCTCTTCATTTTTCCATTATTGTGCAAACACAATTCTTGCTGCCATTAATACATGTAAAATTACGTATGCATTCCCTTTATTATACTGTTCTGGTAATATACCTACCAAGAATATTTCTATGTGTTGCTTTATCATTTTTTCTAACCAAGTATGTATTTTAGTCCAGTATTTTTTTTGCCTTTGGGCATGGTCCACCACATATGGTAATATGAACCTGGTATCTGATTACACTTCCAACATTTAGCTGATAAATTTTCATACCTCTTTCCTAGTCTTGCTGGTGGTAGATGCCACCTATAAATCATTTTGCATAGATTTTCCTTATATGCCGTTGACATTGTTAGTTTTGTTTAGCAGAAAACTTGATTGTTCATTTAAAGTAGTTCAATTGCTTCCTCCAGCCTGCTGCTGTTAAGCCACACAGAATTGCAGCCATAGTCAAAGCCTTATTTAGATTGATAGCTGAGGAAAATCCACCAAAATTAAATTTACATTCCAGTTAATTTACGAGTGAGCACTCATAAAATTAAGAATATCTTCACTAGGAAG